CACCAGAGTGCAGGGATCAGGAGTGCTTCACACACAGAGTGCAGGGATCAGGAATGTGTAATACACAGAGTGCAGGGGTCAGGAGTGCTTAACACACAGAGTGCAGGGGTCAAGCATGTGTGGCACACAGAACAAAGGAGTCAGGAGTGCATGACACACAGAACACTGTTGCCAGGAGTGTGTAACACTCAAGGTGTAGGGGCCAAGGTATGTAACTCAGAGTGTAAGGGTCAGGAGAGTGTAATACACAGGTTAGTAGACAGATTCCACTGGAACCAATTTTCTTACCTGATACAGCTCCTTCCCCTCAGTATAGATAACCCTCCCAGTACAGTACAGCTCCCCCCTCCATGAAACTCACTCACTAGACCAGGCAGTTCAGAGTTAGAGGAAGTCCTCTTTTTAATGAGTAATGTGACTGGAGTTGATGAAGAAACTAGGAGAGCTTCCCTTGCTTTGAACTGCCACTGCCTGTTTCTGACAGGTGACAGAAGTGACAGCTGCAGAGCAAATAGAATTAGCACTTTTTAAAACTTTAAATTAAAAAAGATGGGGGTCATGAGCCTTGAGACCCAGGGTACCCTGCAGGAAATACAAACCAAGTGGACCCCCCCAATCCCTTTCTTATCTACACCCCTTGAAGTGCCTAAAGGCACTGGTTGTTTTTGTTTCTAGATTTTTTCACCATATGTTGTTCTAAGAAAAGTTTTTTTGTACAGGTGCACCAAAAGGTACTGCCAGTGGCGGAGAACAGAAACTATGAGATATGCCAGCCCTACGGAAATCAGAACAAACACAAGCAAATCTATAATTGCTTTTTGTTGAAAGATTGGCCGAGAATTGGCCAACTTTTGCTGGCTACAGATGTGAAGATTTCCTACATTACTTTAAAATGTTGTCTTGAATTGGCTCTTTTCTTCTAGTACCCATCAACAAACTTTCCCAGATTGGGGATTGGGGAAAGAGTGACTTCAGTAAAGACAATTGCTAGTCAAAAAAGACTGCCCGGGTGTATGCCAAAAGTTAATTTACTAGGCACACAATCAGCACTAGTATGGTACAGTTGCCATAGTCAAACTCTATCACATGGGGCACTTTGCAAAGTATGTACAAATGTTATCTTTAGCATTATAAAGATTGGCTGTAATCCTACAGGCACAATCAATCCATACGTGTATGACTCCCACTATGACTAGTAACACTATACATTCTTATATATATTATATAAAAAGCAAAATACAATGTATTATTATTATATAAACATATAAAACATACAGCACTGTATCATTATATATACTATTCTGAAAAAAAATCAGTATCAGCAAGCTTGTACAAAACATTTAATAAGCTTCTAACAACATTTAATAGATTTAAACCTAATCTTAAAACTCTCATAAGCTTTAACACAGGGGTGCTCAACCTGTGGCCCTCGGAGACCTCTGACGTGGCCCTCAAACCTCAAACTGCAGGAGTTTTGGTGAGCTTTCAGAAAGTGCACCACACCTCCAACACTACAAGGAATGTAATAAGAGGTGGAAAAATGCAGTCAGAATGGCTAAAATAGACTACGAGAGACACATAGCCGAGGAGAGTAAAACAAAATCCCATTATATTTTTTTAAATATATTACCAGTAAGAATGTGAGGTCAGAGCATATTGGCCCCCATAAAAGATGAGCAGGGGAAGCTGGTTACAAATGAAAAAGAAAAGGCAACTTTACTTAGTGTATTCTTCTCTTCAGTTTTCACAAAGGAAAAAAGGAGGATCAAGGATGTATTGTTAATAACATATCACAGAATGTACCTTTGTGGCTAACAGAAGCCAGTGTTTGTAATAGACCTGAAAAACTTAACAGAAATAAATCACCAGGACCGGATCACTTACACCCGAGAGTCCTTAGAAAAAAAGACCATTGTTCCTAAATTTTACAGACAGCTTAAGGACTGAAATGGTACCAGCTGACTGGAGAAAGACAAACGTGATACCAATATTTTAAAAGGGCAAAGATATTTTCCTGGAAACTACAGGCCAGTCAGTCCAACATCAACAGTATGTAAACTGTTGGAGGAGATGATAAGAGATTATATCCAGGAGTTTGTACATAATAATAGTAGCATTAGTAGTAATCAACATGGATGTATGAAGGACCATTTTACGAGGAAGTGAGCTGCCATCTTGATAAAGAAAGACCTGTGGATGTGCTGCATCTGGATTTTGCCAAAGAATTTGATACAGTTCCTCATAAATGCTTAATTTAAAAATTGAGGTCTGTTGGCTTAGACCATAGTGCAGGGTTCAGCAACCAGTAGATCGTGATCTACCAGTAGATCTCAGCCAGGTGACCAGTAGATCATGGTCAGGGCTTGCTGATCTGACACCCCAGAGCATCAAACAGAGTGCAATGCAGAGGGACTACTGGTAAAGTTGAAGCTGTAGTAGGGAGCAAGAGCCTCATAAATTGATGTCTTCTCTGTAGTGCTGGCTCCTACGCCATGTCATGGTTGGTGGTTGTAGCACCTGACAAGCAAGACCCATTCAGGTGAATGAAGCCACTCTCCATGTGCCCTGTAACCTTGTGCAGTTCAGCAAACAAGAGGTTAAACAGGCAGTATTGTGTTGATTTCTCACCACCTGCTTTTTCCCCTTGGACCCCACAGAAGCATGCAGTTACAGGGCACTTGCAGAGTGGTCCCATCTACTTGAATGGGTCTCGATCAACAGGCAATAGCACCCACCAAAAGCTACAGGGGGGTTATTTGCTGCTGCAGCAAGAGTACACCTTTGGCTGTTTGCCCGAACCAAACAAGCAAAGAGTAACTTGAATCTTCACCACATGCCAACAGGAGAAAGTAAAGATTGCTCACGCACCAGACCCTTAGACCCCAAGTAAGGTGGTCAGATGAGCTTTTTGGTCATATAAGAGACCATCCTCTGAGGAGATATCTCCCCTCCAGCAACTCTCCGCTTGTGACCATAGACAATGGAATAAGGACTCCCAACATCTCTCCAACAGTTATGTTGTTCGGTATGGATTATCCTTACGAAGGAATAGTGCCGGACCACTCAAATAAACCAGGTAAGTGAAATACCTTCTAAGTGCAGTATTTATTAAATGAGCAAAGAAATATAAAAAACAGACTCACATGGTATGGTGCCTAAAAACCGGCACCAGTGTTCTTGAAGCCTCACAATGTCACTTCTGGGTCCAGGAACATCCAGGCTTAGTGAGAACGAGGTGTGGAATGCTTGTTGGCCACCAAAGCTTCACACAGGCTGAAAATACTGGTGCTGGTTTTTAGGCACCATACCATGTGAGTGCAAGATTGTCTGTTTTTTATATTTCTTTGCTTATTTAATAAATACTGCACTTAGAAGGCATTTCACTTGTTTGGTTTATCTGAGTGGTCCGGCACGATTCCTGGATAAGGATGATCTATACCGAACACCATAACTATTGGAGAGATGTTGGGAGTCCTTATTCCTTAGCCTATGGTCACAAGCGGAGAGCTGCTGGAGGGGAGATATCTCCTGAGAGGATGGTCTCCTATATGACCAAAAAGCACATCTGACCACCTTAATTGGGGTCTAAAGGTCTGGTGCGTGAGCAATCTTTACTTTCTCCTGTTGGCATATGGTGAAGATTCAAGTTACTCTCTCCTTGCTTGGTTCGGGTCACAGTTTCAAGAAATCGCAAGGACTGTCACTTTATTTTCATGGACTTATATTTATTTGTTACATTTGTTTTGCTATATGTATAAAATATGGGAATATAGTTTGCACATTGAGATATCTATTTAAATGTTAATGAGTCTAATATAGGGGCATGTAATGATACTAGTTCCCCATTAATTGCACATGTTTTTCACCCATTTATGTAGCGCCTACCTACTTTATCACATTTTGACATCTAAATGGGCATCCACTAAATTAGGGGCAGCTTCACACTTTATTATTATTATTTTTTTGTCACAGTTGGCGCCTTAAATAATCATTTTTACTTTTCATTCTGACACTGGTGTGAACTGACTTGGTGTCACTGACATCCCCAGTGACACCAATACAGTGATCAATGCTATTAAAAAGCACAGACACTGTACTAATGGCACTCGGCAGGAAGGAGTTAACATCTGGGGCGATCAAAGGGTTAACTGTATGCTGTTTCACAGTATGCTGTGTATGCGCTTTCCACTGTAAGCACACTGCTTTGTATGGCTCTGCTATGCAGAGTCATAAAAAGCAGTGTGCAAGAGCTGACAGGGGAGAGAAATGTATTGTTTACATAAAGTTCTCTCCCTCGTCAGTAATACTCGGTGATCACCTGGTGTCGGCATGTAATCACCAGCCGGGACCCAGTGATTGACAGCTGAGGCCACGAATGGTGGCGTGGGTAGGGTGTGCATGCAGCTTGCATGTGCCCCCTACCCAGAACTGCAAAATCACGTATATATAAATGATTTTATGCACCCCTGCCACCCTGTAGCAGTATTTCTGCTATAGGGTGGAGGGGAAGCAGTTAAAATTCTTAGGTGGTTAAACATTAGGAAGCATTAGCTGTAGCTTTAAACATGAATTTACCAAGATTCTAATAATATACACAGACAGGTATAACTGACATATTGATGGGAAATATCAGGAAAGATTAGGCTAGGTCACAAGGAAGAAAAAACAAATCCATCTTTGAAACCTTCACCAAACTTTGGTAACTGATCTTTGAAAATGAGGGGAGATTTCATCAAGTGGGTTGAGTTTACCATGATTATATTGGAATTTCAGAGGATTTGTATATGATAGTTTCAGCATAAGCAGCATGATATTCAAAATTCAAACAAAATAGTTTTCATATGTATAGATTATAAGCCATATATCAAATACTAGCTTACACATTAGTAATAACTTTAATAGATGCCATAATGGAAAGATAACATTGCTGCTCTGTAACCTAAACATAATTATTTTACCATATTTTTATTATTACTATAACAGGCATATTTTTCTTTATCCAGATCTCTCTGCAGTATCTATCTGGCAGCAGCTGGTACCACACCTGTGGAGGTTCCCTGATCCGTGTTGACCGTGTCCTAACTGCTGCTCACTGTGTGGACAGGTAAGAAAGCTTACACTACGTACACGGAGGAATACTCCTTTTTTTGTAGCATAAGGCTCCATGCACACTAGCATTTTTTATAAACTCAAAAAATGCTAGAAAAAAAGCTGAATGGAAAAACTCTGATAACAGCATTTTTGTGCCAGCTTGTTTTTGTGCCAGCCGTGTTTTAGTAGTAAAAGCTACTAAAGTATTAGCATTTTATTAGCGTTCTCACAGTACATATAGGGAAAACAAAGCTAGAAAAAGGCTGTTAATAGTGTTTTAGTAGAGTTTAGGAGCGTTCAGCATTTTTTTTTCTGCTGGAAAAAACACTCTCAAAAAACCTCTATTTTTTCTGCTCCTAATGCTGAAGCCTCAAAACCGTAATTTAACAGTACTGATTGGCATATTCAAGGCTTTGGACATCTTTTTATGTCCTTTTCCATCTTTATAAAGTTCCATTACCTTATTATGCAGGACTTTTGACAGTTCTTTTCTGATCCCCATGGCTCAGTATCTAGCCTAGTCAGTGCTTCCACATAAGAGCTAACAAACTCATTGACTATTTATACACTGACACTAATTGCAATTTAAAAAGCGACAGACGTGGAACATTAACCTCTAATTGGCATTTTAGCCCCGTGTGTCACCTTGTGTGTCTGTACCAAGGCCAAACATTCCAGGGTATGTAAACTTTTGATCATGGCCATTTGGGTGATTTCTGTTATCAATTATGATTTAAAAATGCACACATCACCCCCATACTTAAAAAGCCCTCCCTGACCCCAAACAACAACCTATCTCTGATATATAAATGGCTTCATCAACGACAACAATCGATCATCCGGCATCCCCTTCGAAAATCAAAAAAGAGCATTTTTTGGCTCCTACTCCTTGATCAGTCAAAAATTTTCAGAGAATCTCATCCTATCAATGCCTATAAAATTTCACTCCCCCACAAGGCTCTTCTCGGGCCCCTTCTCTTCTCCATCTACACCTCCTCCCTTGGGCTATGTCAAAACTTTTGACAGCACAATACCCCCCACGTGAATGATGCCTGAACTGGATGTGAAATTGGAACCTCTAGTTTGTTTACACAAGAACATTGACAACTGAGTGTCTCCATCTACTCCATCCACTCCCATGACTCCACTTCTACACGTTCCTATGAAACCACTAAAATCCCTCCCCATCATATACACTACTGGCCTGCCTCGCCGCTGGCAGTCAGTCCTGATTTTCCAACAACCTCTGTGCAATTTCCTTTAGTTTTCCACCATACTGCCCCCAAAACTATGTAATAGGAGCCTCCAGGATCCACCTAAACAAATCAGATTTCAATTTGCGTCAGGCAGGCCCTTGCACTACATAGCTGATGATAGATCTAAAGGAGATTGTACAGTGTAGGCCACCTTAAAGGAAGCAGTAGAAAAGTGGGCGGACGTGAATGCCTGAAAAAAAAGACTGAGGTGGTATAGCTATGCAGTCTTTGACCTCTGGGAATTTCCTTTAGTTTTACCAAAACTATGTAATAGGAGGATCCACCTAAACAATCTGTTCAATTTGCGTCAGGAGGTATACACATCCTATTCCGTGATGCAGTACGTGATGCAGTGCATGATGGGATTTGAAGTTTTCTGTATGGTCACATGATGCTACAGGAAGTCAGGGGCTCAGGTACGCTTTTTAAAATTTTTAACAGAGAGGTGTAGATTCAAAGCTGCCATGGACCAGGTAAGTGAGAGATAAACTGAAAAGGCTTCTGTTTATTATGAAAAGTCAAATTCTGCCTGAAAAAGTGAACTTGGCCTTCAAAGACATAATGTTGATAGGTTACACATGGAGCCAACATTCTTTATTTCTGTTTATTTCTCTTTTTACAGAGTTGTCTCTTCCGTGTGGCTCTTGGTGATCACAACCTTAGTGTGAATGAGGGAACTGAACAGATCATCGCTGTGTCCAGCATCACAAAGCATACCAGATGGAACACTAACAATGTGGCTCTTGGGTAAGAGATTTTCTGGGTATCTTTTCATCTATATCACCTTGACATCATGATAATAATAGGGAAGCACTGCATGGAATTTGAACTATGATCAGAAGCAGGGGTGGACTGACAACTCATGGGGCCCCTGGGCAATAGGGGATCATGGGGCCCCTGTGTCCTTGCCCACACTCAAAAAAAGCCTATAAAAAGGTACCAGGGGCATTTCATGGGGCCCCCTACTGACCCCGAGCCCTCGGGGAGTGCCCGAGTGTTTGAATGGTCAGTCCGCCCCTGATCAGAAGGCTTAAGCAGCCCATGAACAAAAAATAAAAGACTCAATTCCCCCATCCACACACTTAAAATGGATGGAGAATCATGTCTTCTGAACTGTTGTATTCTGACAGCGGGTACACTTTACCGCCTTCAGAATACACTTTTCAAAACAGCATCAATTCTTCTAAGCACACTTGCACACAGTTCTTGAAGGTACTCGGCTTGTAGGTTGTTCCAGAAATCTTGGAGAACTATCCACAGATCTTCTATGGGTGTAGGCTGCCTCAAATCCTTCTGGCTCCTCATGTAATTCCAGACAGACTCTATGATGTTGAGATGAGGGCTATGTGGGGCCAAACCATCACTCCTGGTACTCTTTGTACATCTTTACACTGAAGACAGTTCTTAATGACATTGGCTGTATGTTTGGAATCGTTGTCCTGCTGCAGAATAAATTTGGAGCCAATCACACGCCTCCCTCATTGTATGGAACGATAGGTATCTGTCTGTATGTCTCAGCATTGTTGCCTGCAGACATTCATTATTGTACCACTTTCCAGCCCTTCGACAAACTGCCTCCTGCTACAGTCAAATATTTCACATATTGATCTCATCAGTCCAGAGCACCTGATGCCATTTTTCTACACCCCAGTTCCTATGCTTTGATGCAAAGTTGAGTCGCTTAGCCTTGTTTCCATGTCAGAGGTGTGTCTTTTTGGCCACAATTCTTCATGAAGATCACTTCTGGCCTGACTTATCATAACAGTACTGTAGATGGTTGGACCTGGATCCCACTAGTTTCCCCCAGATCTGTGCTCATGGCACTGCTGGGCATCATCCGAAGGAAATAAGCATGATATGTCTTTCATTTGCTGCATTGTTTCCTTGGCCAACCACTGCATCTACGGTCCTCAACATGGCCCGTTTCTTTGTGCTTCTTCAAAAGAGACCTTGCTAATGCAGTATAACTATCTTGTGACTTGTTGCTGTGCTCAGTCTTGCCATGGTGTATTACCTGTGACATAGAACCTGTCTTCTACAACCTCTCCTTAGTAGCAGAGTTTGGCTGTTTCTTACCCTGTTTTAAACCTCCTACACAGTTATTTCTGTGTCAGTTAATGACTGTGTTTCAACCTACCTATGAAATTGAAGATCATTAGCACCTGCTTGGTATAAATGATTAATCATACATCTGACTTTAATCCTACTAAATTCCTGACTGTGCAAGTGTACAAAGTTTGCATGTGTAAGAAATAATGCTGGTTTCAATCAAAAGTGTAGTGAAACCAAATATTGATTTGATTTAGATTTTTCTTCTGTTTGCTCACTTTGCATTTTGTATAAAATATATATTTTTGAAAGCATGCTTACTTTACAGCATTTTCTTCACACCTTCCTAAAACTTTTGCACAGTACTGTGTATAGATGGATAGATAGTACAGTATACACACTAACGTAATATTGACATTTGAATTTGCTAATTATTGTATATCATGTGGTCTGTTTTAGGTTTGATATTGCCATCCTCCATCTGGCTGCCAGTGCCAGTCTGAATAGCAATGTTCAATTGGCTAGTCTGCCACCTGATGGCAGTATCTTGGCCAACAACTATGACTGCACAATTACTGGATGGGGAAGAACCAGCAGTAAGTATTTCTGTAACTGAATCACATGTACAATCATATCTGATGTTTAGAAAAATCTTAAAGAAACCTCTTTTGACGCTGTGTGCAATCAGATTGCAGATTTTTACAGGTTCAAACATAAAATAGAAAATCTACAGTGCACATCACAGATATTTTCCTGTAATCCATGTTTTTCATAAAGCCTATTGTTGTCAAGTCATATTTTTTGTGTGGTGTAGTTTTAAGATACACACTTAGGCCCCATGTACACGGGACACTTCTGAACGATGGAAACTGCTGGAAAACGTAGGTTAAAAATCACACTGCAGCTGATAAACTCATGTTTAGGAGCTGTTCAGCGTTTTTTTTTCCCCTGAACTCCCCCTAATGTTTTCCTATGTGTCCATGTACACATCTTCGTTTACAGTCGTTTACAAGCATTTAGTTTACAGTCGTTTTTTTTGAACGCAGAAAACTTGCGTTCAGCAATTGATTTTATCAGCGTTTCAAACGCAAGACGCTTGTAAACACGGCTAAACTTGGCAAATCGCATTTATAAGCGTTTGTGTCTGAAAATGTTTTTTAACTCCTCTAGTTCCCGATGCTGTCCAGAGCCTTTTTTCATCATGAAAAATGCATGCAAAGTGTTTTCAAGGTACTGGGATGGACAAAACACTGAACACAGGATGTTCCTACCAAGCTTGTCACACATTGTAATGACCAATTCACACCTCAGACCTCTCCCACCCTTGGAAACAAAAGATGTTAATGACCATTCACTCCTCAAATTCCTCATGAAGACCCCCTGCCAGGTGGCCTTAATGACTCCCTCCACCAGACACTTTCCCACCCTTGGAAACAAAAAATGTTAATGAGCAACTTACACGTAAGCTAATTTCAACACATACTGCTGTCTCTACTTCTACTCTCTGTATTTCTCGGGAACAGTCTGAAATAGTTAATAGTTTACCACTTTTCAGTGCATTCTGGGCATTCAGGAGGTTCTCCTGTGCTTATCTTTAAAAAACGCTTCTAAACGCAAATGCACATAGATGCACATAAACGCGTTATGCAAACATAACTAAACAGACGTTTTTTAACGTACGTTTTCCAGCAGTCAATTTCCAGCATTCAGAAGTGTCCCGTGTACATGGGGCTTTAGACCTTAGTATTCTGTCCTAAAAGAGGTATTAAACCCAAAAGCAAACATTTATTATATGGCAGCTTACCAAACCTTAGATATGATGGCTGAATTAGTTTTCATTTTAAGGCTTTATTTTCTGTATTTCCTGTTTCATCTGATGATATGGCCAGTAATGATGTAATGATGTGACAAATAAAAAGCAGCGGCACTCAAAGTTTAACCAACTTACCTACAATACATGTAATGATGTGACAAATAAAAAGCAGCGGCACTCAAAGTTTAAACAACTTACCTACAATACATGTAATGATGTGACAAATAAAAAGCAGCGGCACTCAAAGTTTAACCAACTTTCTAGGAATATACTGCAGCATGTGCCACGCTAAGCTAAATAAACCAAAATTCAATAGCGCAGAATGAACAAAATAGTGATACTGTAATAATATACAGTGATATTCATAAAATATGCAGTGCCATGAGAAATTTGTGTATAAATAGGACCGTAAATACATTTTGTTATCAGTCTGTACCAAAATGTAATTGTCAATCTGTGACAAAAAATGTGGTAATCCTTCTGCCCTCAATAGCAAGCAAATCTCAGGGACCACCAACAGGGACCTGTGGAAATACTCTCACCTTCTAATACGAACCTTGTGAGAGGTCTTACAGCGCTTCATCTCTTTATAAGCCGAGATCAGCTACAGTAGCAGCTTACTGGCTCTTTTCTTTCAACTGGTCAACTCTAGAATGATAAATCCAACCACAAAATAGGATATGAAAAGTAGTGCTCTCCAAAAAAAAACATTAATTCCTTTATGTGCTTACAATAGTGGTTATGGCAAAAGGCAAAATACCTCTTTGAGATCTCTGCTCTGCTAGCTGGATGTCTCGAGGCGCTCCGCCCTACGTGTTACGTCAAAAATGACTTCATCATGGTCCCTATTGGTGGTGGAGATTCACACACACACTAGGATTTGCTTGCTATTGAGTGCAGATGGATTTCCATGTTTTTTGGGCATGGATTGACATTTACATTTTGGTACAGATTAATAACAGATTTCACTCATGGTTTCATTTCATACACTGGAACTTGATGGTGTTGAGAGCAGAGAGATTTTTACGTTTTATTGCAAGGATTGACAATTTACAATTACATTTTGCTATGGACTGATGACAAAATGTATTCACGGTCTTATCGATATGGCAGAAAATCTCTTAATTTTCAACAGAACAAGCTCTCCTGAAAATGTATCAGTTAGAGTGTTGAGACAAACAATTTACCACTGACTGCTTACAATGATCTGTTATTTTTTATATAAAACCTTTATCCAAAAAGAAAAAAAAACTGTTGCAGTAACTGCTTGTGTATCTACGGTGTGAGCTGGAGTTTGGCTAATTTGCTAGTGTATGTAAACCTTCTAGTATGTCTAACACTCCCCTCCCCCTGGACTGACAATGTTGCTGTCTGATGTGCCCCTGTGCTCCTTCATCCAGACTGGAGGCACTCTACTACAGGAGGTATGTTACTGACCAGATCACCAGGTGAAAATAGAGGGGGGGAAAGCCTGAAAAAGAAAACTAATGCAGCCACTACATCTAATCAGCTTACTTATTAGTAAACTGCAATATGTTACATTTTTGGTTTTGGGTTTAATGCCACTTTAAAATATTTTTACTTTCAATTCCTGCCTACTGCAACAGCCACTTTGCCAGCTTGTCTAACCTCTTTTAAATGTAGAATACATAAAAGAATTTGTTTTGTTTAACCAACAGCCGGTGGATCTCTGCCTTCCATCCTCCAGCAGGCTCCTCTTCCTGTTGTTGACCACGCAACCTGCTCTACCAGTGCATACTGGGGCAGCACTGTGAAGACAAGCATGGTGTGTGCTGGTGGCAATGGAGTCCAGGCTGGTTGCAATGTAAGTTTTATTTCTTTTTTCTTTTATTTTGTATCAATAATGTTTTTTTTTTTCTTTATAAAGTAATATTTATCACTTTTACATTATGTTCATAGGGTGATTCTGGTGGACCTCTGAACTGTCCAGTCAATGGAGTATTCGAGGTGCATGGTATTGCTAGCTTTGTATCCTCCCTTGGTTGCAATGCTTACCTGAAGCCCACAGTATTCACCAGAGTATCCGATTACATCTCCTGGATTAACAGCGTATGTATTCCATTCAGAACAGTATATCTTTAGGGCAAGACTAGTATTTAACACTAGCAAATATATGTCATGAAAGCTTTCATGTATAACTGAAAGCAAAACTTTTTTTTGTTTTTAGATTAGATCACCTGTCAGGTTTTTATTGCTGTCTTTCTGGTACGGAGAGTCACTCAATCTTTTGTCATGCTCACTGTTATGACTGAGGGCCAGTTCACACCAGATGCAGTAAAGTGCATTTTTTTCCTGCATAAAAAACACATGGACAGTAGGTTATATGGGTTTCAATGACATAGTTCACACCACTCTGCAGTAAAAACAATTACAACATGCTGCATTTTTTCTGCATTGAACTGCACTGGAAAGCGGGCAAAACATATCAAAAATGCACTGCAATGCAATTTATCTTGGTTGTTAGGAGCTGGAACCCAGTGCCTCATCCCTGCTGTCAGCAGCAGGGATGGTTAATTGGTTGTTAAAAAGCCGGCACCCATAGGCATCCTAACAACAATCAGTCACCTCTTTTGTCAGCAAGGATTCCCCATTGACAGCAGAATGTAAACAAAAGAGCCAGCATTAAAAAACAGTGTGGGGTCCTCCCCCCCAATTCGTACCAGGCCCTTTTGCTCTGGTATGGACTTTGAAAGGAACCACATTCCAAAAAAAGAAAAAAAATTTTAGGGTCCCCCTAAAAATCCATACCAGGCCCTTCGGTCTACTATGGATTTTAAGAGGAACCCCAATGCCAAAACAAAAATGTATGGATGTATAGTATGCCATTTTTTTTTTAAACAAAACTAATTATGATTGTGTTAAATGTACTATATATGTTTCATTTTATTTCAGAACATCTAAACCAAGACCATGGAAAGCGGGGCAGTGTTTTTGGAATCCATTATATTAATATCAATGGAAATGTTTGAGTTAAAAATGTGATTAAATATGCTTTGTCACATGGATTACTGTCTAGTCGTTTTTATACATGGCTTTTTTTAATATAGGGTAAATTACACATTCAAAAGGACTCCAGTGAGAATATCAATGATGGAAAAGGATCTGGGGGAGCTTGTATATCACAGACCTAGCAATGGCATGCAATGCAAAGCCACAGCTAACAAAGCTAGCAAAATACTGTCATGCATTAAAAAAGGCATACATTGCAGAGATAAATCAATACTTCTACCTCTTTACAAAACACTACTTTGAGATTATCATGAATATGCAATTCAGTTTTGGTCACCAATCCTCAGAAAATATGTTGTCAAATAAGAAAGTCTTCAGAGAAAGCTGTATGTGTAACTGTATGAAAGGAGATTATAAGGTCCTTAGAATAAATATTTTCTCACCGTTTTTGGAGTCAGTTTTCATACATTTGTACATTGTAATCAGGTTAGAGGAAAGAATGTTTAACCTTAGATTACGGAAAGGATTCTTTGCTGTTAGAGCAGTAAACATGTGGAGCTCCCTCCCCCAGGATGTGGTACTAACTGAGAGTGTTGACAACCTTTAAAGTCTTCCTCAAGAAGCAGAATATACAGGGCTATGGGAATTGTTATAGGTTGAACTGGATGGACCTGTCGTTTTTCAACCTTAAAATTCTAAATCAGAAGGGTGTTTTGCATTCATTACATAGCTACATAAAAGCTCTAGAACTGGCTGGATATCAGACCAGTTTCCTGGCATCTTAAAGGTTTGAGAACCCATGAAAAAGAGCTGCTACTTCATACACCTGTGAAATTTTATCAGTTGACAACACATACTTAGTCATGCTATTACCTCTTTTCCCTATTCATTAAAGCTGAATTCCAGGGTATGGCTATTTTTGCATCATGATATTGGTCCAGGTTGGACCAATGTATGCATGTATGTGCCATATATAACTCATCCATGTGAAAGATGGGACTTATTGTAGTGACTGCCGCTGTCTTGTGGGTCCTGTGCCAAGTGGCTGTCCTGATGCTTTGTAAACACAGAGGTTTGCTAGCTTAGCATGAACGCCATGCAGAGAACACTGCATTTTCTAAATGAATGTAAAGTGTTCTCTGACTGGATGACGTGGAGAGGCGGGGCAGTGACATCACAATCACCACCTCATCCAATCAGAGAATGCTTTACATTCACTGAGAAAACTGCAAAGTGTTCTCTGAATGGTGCCTGCCTGTGTTAGGAAAGTAATCCCCTGGTGTTCATTGTGTAGCAGTGCAGCTGCTTGGCCAGGACCTGGAAACTAGCATCAATCACTGTAGTAGTGGGCCTTCTACAGTGTGTTGCAGCTTCCATGGGGATGGGCCAGGTATGACACATACATAGTTACATTGGCCCATGCTGTGGGGTTCTGATGTCACACACTGCACAACTCATACAGTAGAGGTGAGTGTAATCTGAGACCTGAGTGGAGGAAAGGGGTGCACACCCCTCTACATGATTTCAGAGGGAAACATGCACATCTGAGTCTGTCAATCACATGCTGTAAGCTTTAGCTCTCCTTTCCTGCCCCTCTCGATCCGCTGGAGTCCACACAGCCTGTCAGAAATTACTCATGCAGGTAGCAGAGGAAATAGACTGCAGGCAGAAATCATACTCAGTGCTTTGGATTGAGGCAAACACACACAATAGAAGGATAGGCTTTGTATATTTTTCATGTCAGAGATTTACAACCACTTTAATGCCGACTTGTCATGCAATGTTTTATAAACAACATATGAAATATTCGCCTGCCAGAGAAATGTCCCTCTCCCTGCCTGCTGCAAAGGACCTTATAATCTCCCTTCTCTTTCATATAGTTACACATTTTATCCACCAAGGCCAATTTTTGTGTTTAATCCTCTAGTTCATCTAGGGAGTTCTGGAGTTTAGGCAGTAATAGGGAAAGCCAACCTTTGCAAGCATGTGACAAACACAGGATGCAAACTCCATGAAGATAGTGTCCTTCACAAAACTGTAACCCAGGATCTTTGTTGTGCAAATCCATGGTCTCAATTTTAAAACATATATCAGGGGAAAAAAAATAATTTTCTGCATGTCTGAAATGCATGCAAATCTCCAATATTTTAAACATGTTGCAAGTATAACAAAAATACTCTTGATGTGCCAGAAATAAAGTGTGCTCCTAGCTTCCTATTTGACATGACAACAAAATGGGCTGGATAAACTATAAGCAGGGTGACATTAAAGTAGTGCATATTGCGACATTCTTACTAGTGCGACAAACAATGATCCACAATGCATGTTCCAGAATGTGACATTTCCATCAGAAATAGGGAAATCCATATTTGCGATGTTTCACAGAAATGGCACAATTTGTGCAACATATAATTAAAAAAGATTGCATATATTTTGGATACATAGAATACCAAACAAACATAGGTGGAACAGGACGGTCACTGTGACATAATAGATAATTTGTTGCAATTTGCAATTTTTGTTTTTGACAATTTCGCACATCACTTCCTTGTTGCAATTTCTCACTCTGCACTGCCAATCAGGGCAGCCATGAGAAATGTTGGGGCCCCTAACACAGCTTTAGGTTTAGGTCCCCCCAGGCCTGACCACTAATATTCCCCAGGGCCCACCCACGGGTCCACCCACTGACTGTCCCAGCAAATCCGCCCACTGGCCATCCCACTGTGTCCTTCAGTGCATCCACTTTTATTTTAACACTCATACAACTTAATATATGAAAATGAAAAGTGTATTCCAAGTCATCAGTGCTTTCAAGATTTGAAAGTATAGAATTTTGGCAAAAAAAAGAAGCCTGTCACCACAAGGTAGATGTTTTTTGAGCAGACTCCTACACTAGCACTAACTGCACAACCTTTTCAACCTTTTCAACGCTCCCACCACCCTAAAATCTATCCTCCCTTAGCAAATATAAGAAAATATTAAAAAAAAAACCAAAGCAAGAAAACAAATATATTCAGCAATCCAAAAAGAGAGACCCAATCCAGCAAAGAGACATCCCAATCCAGCAAAAAGACATTCCAATCCAGCAAAGAGACATCCTAATCCAGCAAAGAGATATCTCCATATATTCAGCAAAGAAACATCCCAATCCAGCAAAGAAACATCCTCATATATTCAGCAAAGAGACATTCCAGTCCAGCAATGAGACATTCCAGTCCAGCAATGAGACATTGCAATCCAGCAAAGAGACATCCCCGTTTATTCAGCAAAGAGACATCTCAATCCAGCAAGCAGACATCACCATATAGCTTCCCCCACACCTGTACACACTCAGACCTTCCACACCTATGCATACTCTGCCCCCCACACCTGTACACACACAGACCCCCCACATACACCTGTACACAGGCCCTCCTTACACATGTACACACACAGCTCCCCCCATACCTGTACACACACAGCTCCCTCCACACCTGTACACACACAGCCCCCACACCTGTACACACAAATTCCCCAACACCTAAATAAGGGACTGCTCTGTCCAATTCGCACTGCGTTTCTGAATAGTGATGAGAATGATGGGCATTCAAAATGGCTGACGTGTTTCAAGGACTAGCCTCTTCCTCAGAGCCTACATGTGTATGGGCTGTCCCCCATTGATGGTGACCCTGCTGCCAATAGTTTGGTCCCAGTGTATTTTTGGCTCTGAATACCAGCCTACGTGTTGTTAGCCCTGTCTACTTTCTGGTGCAATACAAAGAACACAGATCTCTCCTCATCGCCATAAAACCTTTTTATGTACAGGCAGAGAGCACAGGAAGTTATCAGTCTATGAGATCACAGGTATTTTTCGGCACTTATCAAACAGATAAAAAACACTTTTAGTGGTATATTTAGTAGACCAAAAGGGAACAAATAAGAGAAAATCATTTTTAGGGTTTACTTTACATTACATTACATTACACTTTATGCCACCGCACACACTTTATATTGAGCCCTGACATTTTCAGGTGTTCATCAACATTAGCACAGAAAGACTATTATATCAATATTAGACATTTCAAAGTAAATACATAATGTTCATGTCTTTTTCCCAGTGCATTCAAACCACCACATGACCATTGTGCTGCAAA